TGAAGACTTGGCCTCATAAGACTCCAAGCACCCTGGTTGGCCAAAGGAAGGGTAACTTGCGGACATCCATCACATTCCCCTCAACTTGCATACTCCTGCCCTTCGTGCCAATTACACTCATTGCAAGAGGAACTCATTGTCCAATTGCCCTCCTCCAACCTTTCCTCTGATTTCCAAACAAAACAAAGCAATTTCTGCCATACGTCTTCAAGGAACTATGGCATACTGGAAAAAGGCCACATGAGCAAAGAACTTTATTCATGGTTTGCATGTTATTCAAGCAACTCATTTTTAAAAACTTTAAAAAATTACTTTATTGATTAAGGTATCACATATTTGTCATCATCCCCCATTTCCCCCCCAAACCCCTCCCAACACATGCCCTCACCCCCCTGTTGCCCATGATCACTGGTTAGGCTCATATGCATACACACAAGACCTTTGGTTGATCTCTCTCCCTTATCCCCACCCTCCCCTACCTTCCCTCTGAGGTCCGACAGTCTGATTGATGCTGTTCTTGTTCATCGGTCTCTCTTGTTCATCATTTCCCCGAGATGAGTGAGCTCACGTGATACTAGAAATACACTTATAAGAACTAAAAATGAGACAAACAACTCATTTTGATTTCAGCCGTTGGAAGCTTTCCTCTCATCTGAGGGAAACTATCATTTGAAGTGCTGGGTGTTAACAACCGGAAATCCTAGATGACCAAATGCCCTGTGCCCATTTAGTATATGCTGGGTATTAGACACCCCCCAACACACATTAATAGGTGTTGGCCAATTAGGGTTTTGACCAACTCTGCATAAATGTTGGGCACAATGTCCCATATGGATTAGCTCAGTGGTTGGCAAACTCCGGCACATGAGCCATATGCAGCTCTTTGGTCCCTTGAGTGTGGCTCTTCCACAAAAATACCATGTGTGGGTGCGCATGTACTGTGTGATTGAAACTTCGTAGCCCATGTGCGGAAGTTAGTTTTCGGCTCTCAAAAGAAATTTCAATCATTGTACTGTTGATATTTGGCTCTGTTGACTAATGAGTGTGCCAACCACTGGCTGGATTAGCTCATCAGATTAGTTCAAGTCATCAATATTTTGCCCCTCATGTCTCTCCAAGTAAAACAGCAATAATAATAATGACTTTCATACCAATGGATATGTTATTTAGAAACATGGTAAGTAATGAACAAGACACTTAAAGTATCACACGTAAAATAGTTATACAAATCCAATTTTATTAATAATAATTTAAAGTTATACTTATCTGATCATGACATATATTAGAATCATGTGTGTGTGTTTTTTCCAGCAAATAGAGCAATCCTCTACTTTGAGGGGAAAACCATCTATTGGTGAAATAAGAAGTTCTGGTCTGATAATTGGATAAATTATCTAAGTCTGTGGAAACCTGCCAGTTCAGAGATGATAACTGGATTTGTTTGCAAATTTCTCAAGTTTCACATGCATTTTAGCTCTTGTGCTTGGTTTTAGTCTTCTCTTCTACTAAATGGAATAGCTTTACAATGATGTCAGAGAGAGCAAATGAGTGACTAGAAGGGATATAACAAATGAGTGACTAGATGTCTTCAATTGGCCTCAGGGATTTTCTAAATACTGGAATGAGTTGTCAAATTTTGCAAATAGAAACATGGCCTCTCTGCAAACAAATATGTATGATGTGAATGCCACAATTTCATCCATTCAAGTGACTTGCCTGCTTCCTGTGGCATCTGTGTTTGTTTCAGATGCCTGATCCACTCTGTTTTGCACTGTAATATGTGTCATGGCATATTGGAAAGGGTCTGTGGGTCAGAATATGCCGACTGTTATTTCGTGTAACTTTAAGACCAGCTGAAGGAACACGCGCCCTATAGCTACTCTTCCACAAAGCTCTGTCCTCTGCATGTTTAAGCAGCATCTCTTGAGTCTGTAATCTGGTATGTCATTATGTCTGTGCAATAATTACTTATTATGTCCCAGTCTACTGGGGGGGAGGGGGTAAGCTCTTTTCTTCCCAGCATCTGTCATTTACTTCTTCTTTCCCCTAATCATAAGGAGGCCCCAGTCTTCACTTTTGTTGACCCCAGATCGTCAGTCTTTCCACTCATTTTAGTCCCGGGCCATGGAGGTAGGGGTGCCTGCATCGCTGTTTGTAATAAAACAACTATAAACTAAAAGAGCATTCAAAAGAATGAATTGTGAGTGAAGAATATGACATATGCACACAGTTCTGACTTGGATGAAATATCTTCCAGATATTATCAACTATTTAGAAACTGCATTCCCGTCATCAACAGAAAGTTCAATATTTAAGAAAATAAGCCCTTTTTTAAACTAACTTTTTAAGGGGAAGAAAATGATAAATTTTACAAGTATACAATTTATTTATATTATAGTCTTATATGATACAAACATTTTCTCATCTAAAAATGATATTTTAATTTAAGAAACCTATTTTCATTTAACTATTCAGCCTCGACTGATACTTTTAACCTTATGTGGATTTTAACAAATAAATAGGAAAAATTTTTCTTAACATCAAACTCAACGATGATTGCATTTAATGTCGCTATATAAATATGATAATGTTAACTAATAATTGTATAGGTAAAATATTCCAGTTGCATTACAAACATATATGTAACATATAAATCAGATGTCAAATTTCTGCATTAATATCTTTGTCATGAATTAATAGCCTGCAAAAATGCCTTTTTTATTTGCTTTGTTTTGTTCATTTTGCCCTGTAATCTCTTCAGTACTTAGGCAGAAAAGGAAAAGAAGCACAACTGAGAAATATTTTAATTCTGAACAAATATGCATCTTTTTAGCTGCAATCTTTCGGAACTAAAGAGACAATATGCTGAGAAACGATGAGCTACCACTAACCCAATGGCTTAGTCCTACAAAAAAAGAACTATCACAGAGCCAGCAAAGACTACACAGTTCATCATCTGAAAGAGAGGTTGCTCTCATTAGTAAAAATTAATCTATTCTCTTGCTGTTCAGACATCAAAAATATTTGATTTTGTGAGTTAGGTCCCTATACTAGAATATGCTCCATCTACCCCTTTTCTTTTATCTATTCCCCAAACTCTCTGCCTAATTAAAATAGTTATCTAATGATGTTACAACAATGATGGTCTTGGGTGAAAACAATGGCTGCTTTGTTCTACTTAGGTTTTGGTGAAGACATTTAAAAAATAAAATATGTGAGAGGGTTTAAAGTTTTAATAAAGAATTAAGGGTGATTAGTGATGGTGGGATTCTCATACATTTATTGATTGCCTAATAGGTCCAAAGTTCTGTGCTGCCTGCAGATATATATCTCAATCTCTTCGTCTCTGGACCATGGTCCTTCAGCAACTGGTCAAGAAAAATGACTATCATGTCAGAGTGAAGAATCTCAACTTGGGGAGGGGCTGGGATTAAGGGGGTGACAGGAGATTCAGCGCAAAAATTTGTTTTCAAGGTTTCAACAGTTTCTCTCAAAGTCTACATTTTAACAGGGCTGCTCCAAGCATCCTTTCTAATCTGCCTAGAGTAACTGTGAAAATTTTAGGGCCCAATAGCTTAAATGACATCAAAACAACCCCAAAGCTTTAAAACCACCCATCGCAAACCTTGCCCAGACCTTCAACCTTGGTGGTAAGAAGGTCAGAGTTGAATATTCTGGAGGCAATTTTTTGTTCTTGGGGGAACCAGGGCCAAAAGTCAACTTGCAAAGAATCTCCCAGACTTGGGTGCCGTGCCTTGCTCCCTGGCCACACAGTGGTCCCCTAACACTTTCAATATCCCATTTTGCTTTAACACTCTGGAAGTATTATTTCTAAGAATAGCATGGGTATGGCAGGTTATTTTCTCCTTCCACAAATTCTGGTCGCATTAATTTAACATAAAAATAACTTGGAGAAGAGATTATTATCTTTCTACATTCTGAAAAGTTCTCACAAATACAATTTAAAATATATAATTGATATGCTTCATATTCTTGAGTATTCAATAAAGTTCTTGGATTTTCCCCTCCCTCCCCAACTGCAGGAATAAAACCACTCAGTTCCTTTTAAGCACAGCAAACATGAATCAAATAGCTTTTACTCCATATTTATAAAATGCCACTATCATAAGTTTCTCAGTATTTCCTGTCATCTTCAACCACTTTCATTTATTAATCTCAATATATTTTAATAGCACACATATGCTCAAAAAACCTCTTCTCTGGGGCTTACTGTAGCTTTTTCTTCCCCAAATCTTTGAAAATCTTAGCCTATACATGATTTACCATATGCTTTCCCCAAGTTTTCTGAAGATCCCCTTTTGTGCTCTGTATTGACAGAGTCCCTCTGGATCTGGGAGAAGGCAATCATATCTGTGATGTCCGCTTGAGGGGCACAGGCTCCCAGCACTAGTTGCTAGAGCCGCAGATCCATTGTGCTGCGTGTTACAAGGAAGGAAACTGCCCTGTGACAGCTACGGTTTGGAAGCATTAACGTGTTTCTTTGCAACTCTCATTTTTTAATCTTTCCAGTTATTTCCTATAGTAAAAACGTAGCCACCTGAGTATGACTTCCTGTATCACTGACCTATGTGCCATAATTAAAAGAAAGAAAGCCCAACCAACCGTGACAAAGGTTGCAAATCAGTGTTTAAGACAAAACCAACTCTTTAGGGACTTAGCAAAAGGTGGTTCTCCCTGCACGGCATTTCCTCCAGCCCTGCCTCTCCCTGCCCTCTCCGTCCACGTGAGCAAGTCACTTCACGTTGCATTAAGAATGCATGATGTGTGCTTTCCAGCTGCTGCATTTTGAGTTTGGTTCTTTTCAACCATGAAAACACAGTTATAAATTGTTCCCGGAGCTACACCAGGCAGCATCTTGGCACTTGGTTGTTTTTAACTTCTCAACAATAGGCACTGTTCACTCCCCTCCAGCTCAGTTCTGTATTCAGCGGTCAGGCCGGGCACTGATGAAAGACCAGTCACGGCTCTCCCCCATGGTATCAGTGTGGCGGCATGTGATGATTCACATGGGGTGTGTTTGATCCGAGAAAGCCCAGTCTCTGCTTATTCTTCCTTTGTTCTGTCATCTGGGGAGAAAGAGACAGTGTCTTGAGCTGATTTTTCTTTCTCACTCTTTCCCAGAGCTGGTGGGCCACACCGTTTTGGGTTAACATTTCCCAAGCACCTACAGGGCTGTCTTGGGATCATAGAGAATATATTTCTTCAAAACAGAGAGGATATTTTCAAAGTGCATTTCCATAAACAGAGAAAACAAAGCAAACCCCATCTCTGTGGTTAAGAAACAGGAACCATGGTTCTTTTAAAGCAGCCCTTGCTTGTCACATAATCACCCCCAACACCAGAGTCATTTTAACAGCTCCCACAGTCACTTTCGATATTATTTTTACAGATGCTAACAATTTTACATAATGTAGGAGATGATTAGAACACTGCAATGACAGATAACTAATGATGATCTGCCTTTCCAATGAGTTTAATTACTCGGATGGCAGAAAATATGAGTTTCTATTTTAAAAAAAGTGCAAAGAGGTCTTTGTATTTTGGCATCCGTGCCTTCCTTCCCCTTTTTGGAAAAGGAGAAGGGTCACACAAGATGGGGAGGGATTTCTTTATATAAATCCCATGAGCTTGCTCCCAGGAGTATCTGGGTCTCCCACACTCAAGATGGTGAAGGAGTCCCCCTCCCTCAGCCCCAGCTCCCTGGACCCACTGACCTGCTCCTTGAGCTCCGCCAGCTGACCCGACAGCTGTTTGACCAGACTCATGGTCGATTCCAACTTCTCCTGCAGGTTCCGAATCTCATTTTGCTCACTGTCACCTTCGTTGCTAACAAGAGACATGGCTCGCATCCGAGGAAACCAGTCCAAGTTCTTCTCCTAAAAGCAAATAAATATTCAGGAACAAGGGTGTAGGTATGGAAGGGAGCCTGAAGACTGTTGATAGGTGTTCATTATTATTAACATATAAATCAAAGATTTTTAGCACTCTTTCTAGCCAGGGCTGGAGAGGGGCTGAGGGTCGGAATGAAATGGGGGTTAGATACTGCTCCTCAGGAGCTGGGGGAATATCTTAAATATTTCAACCAACTTCCAATGGGCTCCCAGGGAGGTCCAGGATAATATACTGAGAACAGCACCCTGCACCCTGCAGGCATTCAATGAATCTTGGTGAATGATGAGGTAGGCTCTGGAGGCTGGGGAAAGCAGATCCAAGTGTGTGGGTACAGCATAGGCATGAGCTGTTTCTCCTCCCCACATCCCCGGGGCAGAGAAGAGAAAGGGTGGAGGAACAGGAAAGTGGTAAAAGAAATGTTTCAGTTCCAGCCACCCACGTGAGTTTACCTCCCACTTCCCCAAAACAAGCTGTAGCTGGGCTCAGGAAGAGGGAAGTGGGAGGGCACGGCCTTAGGTTACTCTGTCTGCTCCCTTTGGAAACATTTTACTACAGAAGGGGTGAGGCTTCAGAGGCAGACTTCCCCAGAGGGCAACAGCTCGTCCCACTTCCGTTTTTCTAGGCAGACTTGGTGCAGGTATGTGTGCACTCGAGTCCCCTTCATTGTTGTAGAGACAAAGGGTTAACCAGATATACCCAGCCCTCTTGGAAAAGGCCTGATGGCCCAACGTCAGAGAATTGCTGTGTGTTACTTACATTTCATCTGGAATCCTCAAAAAAGCCTGCAATGTAAATCATACTGTCCCCGTTTCACAAATGAGGAAACAAGAGACCCCATGTCACAAACTAGGAACTGGGAAAGCTCGCATGTGAAGCCTTTGAAGTGGGGTGTGTTCCCAACACTGATGAGGTATGTCAGTCTGCATTCCTTATTTACCAGTTTCCCTAAGTCACCTTCTTCCAACATCCCCATCAGTGACCTTCCTGCTTAAGATGTTTTCTACTCCCGAAAAGCCCACTACAAAGTGGCCACGAAGACTTTTGCCTGGCAGATTCTTAGAATGAGAGTTCACACAGTATGTTCCTCCCTAAGATACCATGGAAAGGCCCAACCTACATATCTCTGCTGTTCTGTCTGATTCTCACCCAGCCCTCTTTGGTTCTTTTTCCATTTTGGTAGTTGTTGTTCTAGTCTGAGAATAGCAAGTTCTTAATGCCTTACCCCGCAATGGCAATGAAAAGGGGTGAACAAGGATTAAGGATAAAACATCTTAAAGAGTTTTAAACTGTATTTAAACTGCCATAGCTAATTAGCATTTCAAAAAGAGAAAGGTAACTTATTCTGAAATGCAGAGTGACAGCCAGATTCATTCATTCCATCAATCTTTCCACATCTATTGCCAGGTATTTAGAGATGCAAGTCAGAGAAGACAAGATGTTGCTCTCAAAGAGCTTGTGGCTTCAGACAGCCCTCCGAGAAAAGTGGACCTGTACCAAAATCACCTGGGCTGCTTGTTTAAATTGCAGATTTCAACCTCATCTCCTCTCACCAAATCGACCTCTTAGGGGTTGTGCATTGTTCTTTTGTTGCACTTAACTTTAAGAACTGGGGTCTATGAAAGCACAGAAGATAAATGACAACCCCTGGGGTGGTGGCAAAATAGAGAGATGGACTGTAGGGAAAAGAGCTGAAAAAGCTGGTGTGGGGAATGAGAAGTCAAATAGGGGGCGTATTAAATGCCTGCAACTGACAGGATGGACGGCCTAGTGGGGTGGGAGACCATGCCTTCTAGTGACCCCAACAAAGACTATTGGTCACCAATAGCCCAGGTGGGTGTGCAGTGGAGGCAGAGAGCTGGATCAATAGAGAATGGGGTATCCCCTGGAATCGGCATCAAAAAGACTAAGGTGTGAGGAGCATAAGGATGACAACAAAAGCAGTGATTGGAATGAGGAGCATGACTGTGGGGACTGGTAGGGGGGGGGATGGGAAAGAACACACCTGTGCTGCAGGTTCTATAAGCACCAAATCCTTTCAACCATCCAATGAACTTTAGTTCTTTATCTCTTAGTATGTGGATTAAGTACAGTTTTATCTATCATCTGAATTTTAGAAATGAAGAAACTGAGGCTAACAAATGTTTTAGTTGGGATCCCAGCCCAGATCTGTGTGCATCAGGATTCCTTGGTAAGACTGAAGACTGTGGACAGAGCGTACAACAATAAATTTTAAAATTCAATAAATAGAACAACTTTAGGAAGTAAAACTTCTATGATGAGAGTCCTTGAAATCTGAGAAAATACTGGTGAATTTGGGGAGTTAGTATTTAATGGTTACAGAGTTTTATTTGGGAGAAGATGAAAATTCTCTGAAAATGGATGGTGGTGGTGATTGCATAAAAAATGTAAATGTACTTATTGCCACAAAACTGTGCACTTAAAAATGGTTAATTTTATGTTATGCATATTTTACTACAATTAAAAAAATCACTGTATTTTCAGAAGCTAATTTTCAGGATGAATCATGCCAAAGGCCTTAAAGTCATCTCGAGAGATGTCAGTGATAGGGTGGATGGAGGGGGGTCTGTGGGCAGCCATGGACCAAAATCTGTGATGAATGTACAGGAGGGACCAGGCGGTATTGGAGGACAGGGATGTGGAGGCTTGGAAAATGTATTTCATGTGAGGGTGAAGGGGTGGTGATGGGCCAAGTCTGCTGACTCTCTTATAAGGCCCTTAGTGTCGAGGGGTTGGGAAGATGGGCCATTGCCACCAGCTGGTTAAAAGAGAAGGCACATCTCTTGGGAGAACCAAGAAAGCAGCAGTTGAGGAGAGGAGAGTTGGTCTACAACAGCAGACTCCAGGGGCTGATGGGACAGAAGGGGCTGAGCGCCTTAGATAGCTGAGCCTGGGGAGAAAAGGTACCAGGTGATATAGTGATATCCAAGGTGCGGATGGTGAAAACATCAATTTTCAGAAAGTTTCCAAAAGAAACAGAGGCAAAATTTTCTCATGCTTAGAGAGCAGATAGTAACTGAGCCAAAGAGAACACGGGTGAGGTTTCATGACATGACCTGCAGAGAGGTTACTGTATTCCTGAGTCTCTGGCTCTTGAGGAAACAACCAGCTCTTGGGGGACCATCATCCCATCCTCTGGACCACAGGACTCTCTTTTCTTGCACATTTTTCTTCCTTTGTTCCTTTGTTTACCCCTTCATCTAATACTTCTTACTGTGTTTAATATGTCTGTGCTGGTCACTGGGAAAACAATAGTGAACAAACCCCAGCTCATTCTCATGCTTATGGAAGGAGACTTCAAAGGATGAAAAACATAACAGGGAGGGCATGTATGGGAGTGGGGGAGGGGGTTGGTAAGATATGTGCACATATAGCCAAAACCGGTTTGGCTCAGTGGTAGAGCGTCGATCTGCGGACTGAAGGGTCCCAGGTTCGATTCCGGTCAAGGGCATGTACATTGCTTGCGGGCACATCCCTGGTAGGGGGTGTGCAAGAGGCAGCTGGTTGATGTTTCTAGCTCTCTCTCGCCCTCTGTAAAATATCAAGGTATTATATATATATATATATATATATATATATATATATATATATATATATATATAATACCTTAATAAAAAGAAGAAGAAGAAGAAAAAAAAAGAAAAATAACAGAGAGCTGTGCTTAGGGGTCAAGTAGGAAAGTACATGACAGACACACTCGCTCATCCTTTCTTTTAGTCCCTAAAACTCATTCTCTCTTTTAATCCTCTTTTGGTTTTTCTCATCTTTCTTTCACTGCTTGTATCTTTCTGTTTTTGTTGTCTGCTTATTTCTCAGTCTTTTCCTTCCCTACTTTTGTGCATTTTGTTTCATTCCTCCCTTCTTCTGTATACCAATTGACCATAATCTGAAAGTAAGGGGAAAAAAGTGTAATTATGATTTTTTTCCCCCATATCAAATGCTTTGCGGTTTCTTTTCTTGGTTTTTAAAGAACTTGACTTGAATATCTTACATCTCTCACTGAAATGGAAAACACACACACACACACACACACACACATACACCACACACACACCAACCTAAATTGTTTCTGTTCTTTTTTTTTCTCTCTGCATAAAGCCAGTCTTTTAAAGCTAATTTCTTCAAATTAGTGTAGAAAGTACATCCTTTTCACCAAAATTAAGTTGAATACAACAGTTTTCTTGGAATAAATGCTGCATGTGTTTTTTTTTCATTCAAAGCAGTTCCCAATTAAATATCCCAAGGTTTCTCTCTCATCTTATGGCACCTTGAGCAGACTCCATGCAAGGCTTAGTCTGAGCAGGTGAGAAAGTTGAGACCAGGGCTTGAACCTGAGCCAGAACAGTGGCCAGTGCACAGGACCCCACTTCCTCACCAGGCCGACTTGGATGTGTCCGCCCTCTAGCAAAGCAGTTAGATCTGATTTGTTACTTCTCTGTTACTCATACATGCTTGTGTACATCTCGTGATCATGATGAGCAGATTCCCATGCTGACTTGGGTTAGTCAGTATGAAATCACTTCCTTATTTCACCAGGAATGAAAATATTTTACCACTGGGTAGTATATAGCCAGGCAAGTTGCAGATTGACTGTTAGACTCTGAGGCTGGAATGTGAGATCTCAAAGTTTTGGTGGGTGGAAATTCAGAGCTTCTCAAGGTTTCTCAAATGCAACTGGTCATGTCTCTGAAAAGGGACACAGGGCTTACTAAGCACACCCCTATTGGTCTCCCTGAATTCTAACAATAATGTCATCTCCTTTCAGATGACTAGAAGAAGAAGAGATCAGGAGTGCAAAAATCTTTCAAATAGTCCCTCCAGCAGTCGGATCAATTTTACTTATTTAATTATGCAGTTATTCAATAAAATGATTAGGTTGTCAGTGTCAGTCAAAGCTTAGCCTGCTTTGTTTTCATGTGCGATTCTTCAATGTGATGCTCCATTTATGGGAGAGGCAATATAGTAT